GGCTATGAAGAGCATTTGGGCTAGTTCTGAAACCATGAACCCAGGCTGACCACTCACTACCCTTATCAAAACAGTTTTATTTTCATATTATTCCGCAGCTGCAGAAGTGCAGCATTCTGGCTCTGTTAGCAATTATCACTATGTATGAACGCCATGTGCCTAAGCTCATCATCAAATCATAAACAGTTCAGCCGCCATCAGGACTAAGAGCTCAGCCAGAGCTCACTGTGCCAAGATAAAGAGATAAAAGTGTCAGACTGCTTTAAGAGAATCCACTCTCTTGGCGCAGAGACAGAAACACTCGTAGCCATTAAGCAACTATTTAGCTTTACTTGATAAATAGCCAGAATGGCCAGTGATGACTTGGCAAAAAAAAGGAAAGAATGGCTAGTCAGCATCTTTTCAACAGTCCTTTTATATAGTATCTGCTATTTTATTCATCATTAAATATTTGGGTTGAAATGCCTTTTTGAGAGTGGCTGTGTGTTGAGATTAGGGGAGTGTGTTTTTTTTTTCTTCTTCATCTGGTGTGTTAAATTTCTTTTCTTTCTCTCTCTGTTCACCTTTTGACAGCAGGCTTTTGTGTGGAGACTGTGGGAAAGTTTCCTTTCCTGATGAGGTCATCCCTCCAAACCCCTCTTTCACTTTCTCTCTCTGTTTCACACACACACACACACACACACACGACTGGGGTATGCTATGACCCGACAAAGAAGTGTGTGTGGGTGGACAGGAGTGATTAACAGTTAATAGCGTACGCAACAAGATCTTCACATTTTTATGTGTATATATTGGCAAGTGTGAACAAATGAAGGCGTATTCGAAACGCTATGAGGAAGGTAATACAATCCAGTGCAATGTTTTGATTTCTCAATTTCCTTAATGATTCAATATAGAACATGACAAAGCACCCTTAACCAACACAAACCAGCCCCCAAACATCACGTAGGCACCACAACTTGGCTCCTCCACATAAACACCAACCCCCATACTTCACGCATACACTCCAGCTTAACATGCACCCTCCTCAGACATTTTACATATACATACACCCCCCTCAAGCCCACATTTCCATCAAAACTCATGTTTATTCTTTAAAGCTACATATACAGACCACCAGCCCCCAAACATCACGTACATGTACCAACCCCCAAACCTCACGTACACATACTAACTGCATGCACACCATTACAATACACCCAATCGCAACACACACATCCTCCTCAATGGCTCCACCATACTGCTACATCAATATCCACAAACACTTTTTAAATAAAGGTGCCAACAAGGGTTCCTTGGGATAAATCCATAGAAGAACCACTTTTGGGACCTTTCTGGCAGCTCAGTGTTTTAATAGTGCATGTATATATTAATTTAATCACAATATAGTTATCATGTGAATAGCAGTATGAAAGACGCATTAGCATCACTTTTGGTTCCCAAAAGAATCTTTCTTTTGATGATTCTTTGAAACCACAGCATTGAAACGTTCTTTAGGGCACCAAAACTGTTTGATTGACCAGATTGTGATCAGGTTGGTATATTGCAGACATATGTTCTTAAAAATAAAAGGTGTCAAAAAGGGTCTTTGCTGAAGTGCTGCATTTTTGTTCCCTAAAAACCTTTCAATAGATTTTTATTTAAAATCTCAGTTGAAACTAGTCAAATGAAAGGTTCTTTAGGGAACCCAAAGTGCCAAAATACAGGCATCAGTGTTCTTTGGAGTAATGCCAGAGTAAAATCAAATCTCTTTTCAGTGGATGGTTCTTTTAAAACTTGAATCCAGCCAATTGAAAGGTTCTTCAAGGAACTCAAAGTGGGATCACTTTGGTATATTGTGGATGTGTACTCTTATAATTGTTCTTTGGAACGACGGCATAGAAAAAAAACATTTGACTTCCTAAAGAATCCTTAATGGATGGTTATATAAAAACAGTCAGTTGAATTCAGTTAAGTGACAGGTTATTTAGGGAACCCAATAAGAGTCTTGTTAGTAGACATTCACTTAAAAATAAATGTGTCAAAAGGAGTAATGAGAAAAATAGAAAAATCACTTTTGGTTCCCTAAAGAACCTTTTAGTGGAAGGTTCTTTTAAAATCTAGTTAAATCCAGCCAACTGAAAGGTTTTTTAAGGAACCCAAAGTACGAACACTTTTGTATATGGTAGACAAAATACATAAAAGAACCATATTCGGTTCCCTAAAGAACTAATGGATGGTTTCTTTAAACCAGTCAGTTGAAAGGTTCTTTAGGAAACAAAAAGTGGTTCCTCAATAGAAAAGAGCCAATTTTGTCACCTTTATTTTTAAGATTGTATGTGAACATACCAATCTGATCTCACAGAAAATTATAATGAACAAGGCTTATTATATTAAATATCTATATTATATTATTATATTAATATCTAATTATATAGAAAGTAAACCAACAACAGCTAAACCTGCTCCCACATCTAAATTGACCATCCATACCATTCATAAGGCTGCGTAACACCTATATAAGTCTTTCATAACACATGACATAAACCTATATTGAGGTTTATTCCAACAATTGTCAGTTGCTATAATGTTTGCCTGAAATGACAGCAAAATTGACAAAAGCAACCTCTATGAGAACTGAAGCATGTTGGAATGAACTTTTAAGTGTTTATAGAGGTTTGCCATTTGCCGTTTGTTATGAAAGGCCTATGTAGGTGCCATGTAGCCTTACAAATGCTGCCTTTCAGTAAAGTGTTACCGTGAATTCTTACCAAATTGCAATAGTGAGATTCCACTGCATATACTGAACATTACCTACCAGAATTCAACACATACCAGAGGCAAATATAATCACCTTTCTGTCGGCAACACTCACCCAGTGCTAAGTGCACACACAGTGTAGTGAGTAAATGTAATTTGTTACCCCTGAGCTCCTGCCTGAGCTCATACTTCTCCATGACTATGAGTCTGTAGAAGAGGAATGCCAGCCGGGCAGCCGTCCAAATACACACACGCGCTCAAACACAATCACATACATTCATACACCTCCACACTGTACAGACACACTTCATTCCCACATGACCTTAGTCATCAAACACCCCTGATCGTGAATCAATCTCTTAATCAAGCATGCTGCCACTCGCAATGAGGTGGCAGGAAGCAGTGAATACACAAAGACAGACAGTGTATGTGTGTGAGAGTGAAGAATGCTAGCTCACTGGCAGTTCTCCTCAACAGACTTAGGGGAAGGGGAATTCCACCAATTTTTCTAAATTTTAAATTTCTGCAGCATGTAAATAAAGACATTCAGAGTGTTATGATGCGGAATGGTTAATTAAAGCAGAAAAAAACGACTTGGATTTCTTTACTTTAATGGTGGTGATAGGAACCAGGAGTCGTTTTTAAATGTAAATAATGTATATGCCGATAATGATAAAATGGTGATAAATCTGAAAAAAAAATTCTTTGAGATCTATTTTGTTGTACAACACCCTGCGTGCACATCCCCACTTTGCATGCATTTTAGATATTTTAAAAGTATGTTTTAGGTTAAAGGCTTATCTCTAAATACAATAAAACAACCTCTCAGACATAAGGCAGTATATTCATAACCGTCTCATATGTACCTTTCTGGGAGGGAGCTTTTGGAGGCGTTAAACTCTTCAGCTGTCTGGTTCCCATCACTATCACTATGAACTCGGTAAGTTCCTCTAGAATCAAGTGCTTCACATCAAATCACTCTGAATGACAGTCTATATCTTCTCCATTTTTATTTATTTATTTATTTATTTTGCATAATTTAAAACATTGTTTTAATTTAATGATAAACAGATTATTAGAAATGGTCCAAAATTAAAACAAAACAAAAAACAACCTTTTACACTGACTTCCATTGTAAGTTAAGAAGGTTCTCTTTCTGCTGTAAAGTTATGGAAATATGAGGTTACATGCACTTAAGTAAAAATTTGACATATTTATACTTTGCTGAGTATTTTCAAACGATAATACTTTCACTTCCAATCAAGTATATTTGTGTGGAAAGTAATCTACTTTTTACACACATACATTTTTTTGTGTTTTATTCCATGATGTTATGTTGGTAATTGAATCTGTACTGCTTTGCGATGAATCTCTGACCTCTGACCTACAACTTTTGTACTTTGACTCAAGTTGTTGTTTGGAAAGGTACTTGTACTTCTAAAAGAACATTATTTCACAATGGTAACAATGCTTTTACTTGATGCTATTTAAGCTAATCTACTCATCTCAGGTGGGCTTATATCCCACATGTATAATGTAACAACCTACATGTAACATGAATGTTCTAAACCAGACATGCCCAATTCTGGTCCTGGAGATCTACCACCCTGGGGAGTTCAGATCCAACACACCTGGCTCTAATATTCAGATGCCCCTGAAGGCCTTCACTCCCAGGATCAGGTGTGTTAGATTAGGGTTGGAGTTAAACTCTGTGCTAGATCACCAGGACCAGGATTGAGCACCCCTACTCTAAACCTAATCTTAACCTTAGTAACCAGTAGATGGTTTCATTACGTTTTAAAAAAATGAACCATGTAGCTTTAGTAAAAAACACATTATAAAGTCAGAATCTAACTATTGGTGCTGATGTTGTTGGTTATTCCTGTTTTGCTTTGTTTTTTCTATAAATTCAGAACATTTTTGGTCTGAAGATGTATAAAACACACACGTGTGTACATAGAGACACCACACACACACACAATTTGGCTAGAGGTGTATTAATAGTGATAATGATTAATAAAGCACATCTATTGGCTATCACACTCATAAGTATGTACTCCTTCGTTGCCCTCTCTGAAGCCACAGTATTTATCATCATAAATTAAATATACTTCAGTTATCAACATCCCATTTAATTTAGAAGTTTTCAATGAGCAAATCTCTGCCTCTCTTTCTCTCTATCTCTCCCTCTGTTAACTATTGCCACCTGCTGGTTTTGACAGAAACACGCCAGTCTTCACATATTGCCGAATAACAACAGATATGAGAATTTGCTTTTATTTTATTGTGAGCATGTAGGATGTAGTATATACAACTGTAATTTACAAAATAAATGAGTTATAGGAGAGTTTAGTAATATACAGAAAGTGATACAGAGAGATTTTTACCTCAACATAACAACACAAAGAGACAATAAAATGTATTTGTCATTCCTTCGTACGTGAAGAAAAAAAAGAGTTAGTAAATTCCATATCTGATGTGTTAAAACACGCTAAGTTTAGGATCTACTGTAACTTTTAAAGTCTATTTACAGAATAAATATATACGGTATGAACTGTTTAAACGTCCTGTTTGTATCTAACAGCTTGTATACTATATACACAGCAAATACTGAAGTCTGTAGATAACTACAATGTACTAGCATCATTACTGTACACTGCATTAACATGGGGGAGATTTGGCTTTAAAATAATATCCAGGTTTTTTCTCTTGTCAACACGGATATATAATTTACAGGTTTACACAACTGAATAATCAAACCAGACTTTTCTCTACTGTCAGATTAAACATAAATCAATGAATATGAAAGGGGTATACACAAAATATAAGCTAGAACACAACAGAAAAACAAATACAGTTTATTGTAAATGCCACCACTTACTGCTGAGCACAACATAAAAAAATAAAACTATATAACAGTTTAGATGCAGTTAATGGTAAAATATGTCATTTATTTTATGCAAAAGAAAAGAATGTTTTTCAACACTTAAAATCTTACATGTTTATTTAACCATAGGCATGACAGATTTCTCTTCGCTCAAAGAAATTGCTAAATGTGCATTAGACATGACAACATATTTAATTTGTTCTTTAATATAAGGCCTACTAACACAACTGGTCATTGGTCTACGATGAGGAAAACAAAAAAGTAGGAATGGATTTTTAAAAGTAGGATAGTATCTGTGTATATAATAAATATGGCTTGTGCTGAGTGTAGCCCTTATTATCCTCATGTTTAAACAGTTCAGCCATTGAGTTCTTTTGGTCAGTATTTGCTTTGACTTGCTCTGCAAAACTTTTATGGACCGTCATAACCAAGAAATTTGCTCTATACACATGCTAATCAGGTTTGCTTGCATTTCGCTGAGCAAAATTAGGCATTCAGTCAGATTTCTCCAACATTACCAACTACATGTCTGAACCCAGTTCTAGTAAATTCGAGGATGCAGCGCAGTTTCACTGAGTCTTAGAAACATGAAGTGACTGAGGAGGCACTGGAGAGCTAAATGGTGCTGTAAGCTGTTTGGATTTAACAAAAGACTTTCAAATTGAGGCTTACTAGAAAGTGGCTTGGGAAAGCGTTCTCACACAACTTGCCGACTTGGCACAGGGCAGACTGCAGCTCTGGCATTTAGATCACATGGTGCTGCCGACCTCTTTTTGCAACGGTCACAGCCAGTAATTTAAAGTTATTTTAAGCAGAGACACTGGGACTCCCTCTATTGGTCTAGTTGTGTAGGAACACAAAGCAGCTGGTAGCACTATGAACGCTACCCTAGAAAAACTAAAGGTCGGTCAGCTAAAAAATTTAAGTCAACATTCTGCACAATTGTTTTTTTAAATGTGTGTTAGGGGCAGTTTTAGACTGTGGGAGGGAATTGCTTAAATGAATAAATTGGGGGATAAGAACTGAGTAAAAATTCAACATAAAAATTTAAGCAAATCCACCACATTAACTGTTTTTTTTAATTTGCTCAATTTAATCTGTATTTTGTAGACCTAACTTAGAATCAGTAAAAAATGGCTGTAAGGAGAACTAAATTAAGAAAAATAAATAACGCTGTGGAGAAGGTTGACTTAAAATTCCAACTTGACTTTTAATTTTTAACAGTGTAAGTTAACAAAGTTTTATACTCATTAAACTCATTTTACTCATCAAAAGCCCACACTGGCAGTGTCATTAACAGTCTTTAGAAGCCTCTAAAACATTAAGATGCCAAACGAATTCTTTTTTTTAGCAAACTTTAGTTCCCTAAAGAAGCTTTCAAAAGATGGCTTTTTAACCTAATCTCTATTTCCACATCTATAACATCAAGTATTACCATGGACAATTATAGTTTGCTGAACTTAGTAAAAGAATAGAAAACCAACTGACTCAAAATACACTTATAATAAAAGCCGATGGGCAGTGTGCTTTCAGTCAACAGGTTTTTTGCTATTTTACTAAGTACAGGGAAAAACGTCTAAATTATCTGAGTGATCACATGCTAGAGATGCAGCAGATAGAGATTAGGGCTGAAAAACATGAGGGTATTCCTTTAAAAAGTGATTCACTGAAGGGAAAGTTCCTACAGGGAACCAAAATGTTTCTTCTACTTCTTCATCGCTTCATCGGCAGCTTCATTTCTAGGGGTGTAGAAAAAATATACCATGTGGTTTTGGATTCAGAGTGCAATGTGTGAGAGACTATTAAATATGGGGAATGTGAAATCAGCCAACCATGGTGCTGGGAGTGGCTGATTGTAGGCATGGTTCTACTTGGCCTTCTGAGAGCCAATCATCACCTTGGAGACGAAGTTGACGATAGCACTGGCAGGCTGCTCGGGGTCATGTTCTGCAAACAGGTGACACACGTTCTCTGTGCTGCTACCACTCTTCCTAGCCACAAAGCCAAAGATCCTGCGTTCACACACAAAAACATGCAAATCAGTGAGGAAAAGAACGCACTATGATTAGTTAGATGACAAAACAGCACTACAAAAAGACAGAGAGGTAAAGAGGTTGCGAAAGCAGGAGCAAGACTGGTTCAAACTTACTTTGCAGCCAAGCAACCGTCTCTCATCCATCTGTGAATAAAGCATTAGAGAAATAAGGCTTGAAAAAGTGCACCAGTACATGTGCTTCAGTTATATGTGTAGGAGCAGGTTTTCTTCCACTTGTTCACTTAGCCAGATGAATTTAATTACACAGCTGCATAAGAAAAAAACTTGGCATTTAGAGCTGCAAAAAATGCCTGTCTCTATATTTGGTTAACGGTTTGACTGTAAACGGATTAACTGACTAATCGAACCATTATGCTTTCTGTGGTTTCCTCTCACTTCTCCCTGTCACATCGCCACTGTCAGAATGACTGCAGTAAATATATGAACATTATAGAGCTTCATGGAGGATTATGTTATTTTAAAGCAAACAATATATTGACTTTTTTCCAACTGTCAGTCATCATTGACCGCAAGGCCTGTGCACTGACATTTTGGGGGCAGGCAACCCTAGTTTTTCTCAAGATAGCCTAAAATACTAGCTTGACTGCCCAAATGGGGATTTTAACCCCCATCTTCATTATACAAAGCTGTGAAGTTACCCATTCATGAACAATCAGCTATTTCTAATTCAATTTGGGCCTCACCTATATCCTGTTTTCTTGACAATAACATGACAATAACATGAATCTATTTGTACCCCTTACTGCCATCATTACGTTTGGATGTTGATAACAAATAGCCATAGCATGCAATAGGGATGGGAAATATGACCATATTTTATTGTTATCATTATAATTTACATCACAATATGCCTTTCTGAGTATATTGTGGATATATTATGAATTGGTTTTAGTGCACCACAGTAAGTGAACTGCATTGAATAAAAACCATTGTTTTCGTAGCGTTAAATAGCTTTTTTTGTGGAACTGCTGGTTCTTTATTGTCTGTTCCAACTTATCACAACAGAAAAAACTATATGCTGTCATACATAATATGCATCATGAAAATGTCTTGGTTTTCTATTTTTGTCTTATTGGCAACCTCTAGTATGCACTATGAAATTTTCTTGAAAAGATTCAGTGCTTTATTAACACTGAGAATTTCCCCATTGTGGAACTAATAAAGGATTATCTTATCTTATCTAATGGTATTTTCAGTGCTGTGAATAAGTGTTAATCTGTGACAGGAGTTAACAGAGGCAAAATCTTCTGAACTTCCTTGTCCATGTCTGTGTAGATGTAAATGTGTATGTAGTAATTACTTTCTGTCTTGGGGGTCCAGAGCGCAGAATATGACTGTGTTGACAGCATAGTGCCTCCTGAAGAACAGCCTGTGAACACATGTAATGAACTGTACTGAGCAACTCACTTTAAGCACAGTGCTTTAAAATTGTTATCTGCAGGTATTTATGAAGATGCACATCATAAACCCGTCTCAGTTGAGTGTGTAAAACCTAAGCTATCCACCTGCACCTGGTGTGTGAAAGTGTATTTTTGGTGCACAATCTAAATGTGTCTAGGTGTGGTCATGTCTGTCTGAGTAAGAGTACACATTGCGAATGTGTGTAAAAGAAATTCATCTCTGGCTGTGAAAGCAGATGTTGAGTCACACACTGTGTTTTGGGTGTAATGGCTGGTATGTGGTTTGGTGATGTAAGAAACTGAGACTGTTCTACCCAGGAGTGCGTTTGTGTTTTGCAAGAAGTTGTAAATGTGCAGTGTGCCCTGGTGGTTCGATGTTTGCATGTGTGTACGTAAGACGTACTTCCTCTGGTTGTCTGTAAGTGTGATGCCCTGTGCAGACACTTTAAAGTGGACGATCGTGGAGATGGCCGGAGGGTTCTGACCAAGGATCACTGTGGTGGCCTTCTGTATGGCCTGCACCCCCGTCAAAGACTCCAACTCCACACTGCCCAGGAACCACACATTACATGCTGAAATACACACACACACACACACACACACACACACACATTACAGTCACTTAGACAAGGAATAAAACCTTGAAATTTACAATGAATCAATAATGTAATCTTTTTAAATTAGAATCTTTTTTTTAATTACAACAAAAATACAGAAAAATATAGAAAATACATTACATGAAATAATCTAAAAGTAATAGATAGATTTTAGTTTTTAAAACTAAAAACTTTATTAAAAAAAAGCTATCCCACATTTTCGTGTCACTACAAAAACACAAAGAACTTGTTTGAGATAAACTGAGCAGACTGTGAATCAATCCGGACAGTTTACCCGGCAGCTCCCCAGTGACGCAGCAGCTCTTACGGTGTTAATATATCAGATATAACATTTTTATAAGAGTATCACTATGTGTCCACATGGTTGTCAGCTGAGTTTCCAGCCAATGAGAATTAAGTTTTGTTGTCATCAAGTCATCTCTCAGCTCGTGCAGCTGGGTGTTGAGAAACTGCTGCAACTGTTTCTGAAAACTCTGGCCACCTCACTCTGGTGAGACCATAACCACGTCTGTCATTGTGACGTGTGGTGGCACTGACACACTACCAAAAAAGTCACTACCAAAACATTTGATAGCGTTTCAGTGGCATTATGATTGTTTTAGTAGAGACAAAATGGAATGTTCAATAATTTGTTGTAATAAAACATACAGAACTAAGATACAGGGTACAAATAAACAGATAAAGTTTAAAGACCAAGTCTGTTAAAGTCCAAAATGTGTTTTCTCTTACTTTCAACCAGTTTGGCAGAATGATCCATACAGAATAGGCATGTCAAACTGGGGACCTTCCAGGCCAAAACGTGGTGTGAAGATCAGCATTTACCCTTATCTAACACTCTGACCTTGCTAATTAGCTGAAGAGCTGAATCAGATGTATTTAATGAGGCAGTGTGCTGAAGTCTGCAGTGTTCTGGCCTGTGAGGACTGGAGCCTGACACATGTGATATAGAAGAACACACAAATATCACACAAACCTGCTCCTTGTTTTAGAAGCTCAGTTGCTGAGTTTGTGGAGGTCTGTGCTTGAGTCTCAGTAAGCTCTTCCAGAGGGTCTGAGAGAGAGAGAGAGAGAGAGAGAGAGAGAGAGAGAGAGAGAGAGAGAGAGAGAGAAAGGGAGAAAGGGAGAAAGGGAGAGAGAGAGAGAGAGAGAGAGAGAGAGAGAGAGAGAGAGAGAAAGGGAGAAAGGGAGGGAGAGAGAGAGAGAGAGAGAGAGAGAGAGAGAGAGAGAGAGAGAGAGAGGATGTGATTAAATGATGGTATTAATGAACAATGCACAGAGCTAGGGCCTGATGAATAACTCATTTGGCTAAGAATATGTCTGTTTATGTACACAGACATACTAACCTGATCTATGGCTTTAAATTTATACTGTACATTCAGTGGAAATAGTTCATCAGTAGCACTTTTTATGTGAAGTACTTTTGTTAAGTAAAACAAGAGCTTAACATTGTGAATTCATGTTATTTACCTGTTTTAAGATTTATGTTTGAGTTTAAGAAGTGCAATAACTAAGAACTGAGAATTATATATAACAGTAAAACACTGTTTGACTAAGATCTCTGGATTTTATTTCTATTTTATTAATTATTCATTTTTTCTCCTTGATATCACTGACAAAACGTTCATGACAAAAATCAGTCATGTCCTAACATGCACACACACACACACACACACACACACGCCAGTACCTCTGGCGGGGATGATTAGTTTGCAGGGTAAAGCCAGCGGTGTGATGGAATGTTGGCACACAAGAGCGGTGAGGCTGCCTGTACACAAAGAAAAAATAAATTCAAATAAGTTATTTCTTAAAGTTTACTTGAGATATATGCAGAACAGAATTCCTTCAAAGAAGACTGATGCTGAACACTATGCCTGCAAATTTACGAAGGACACAACATGGCCACTAGAGGGAGGTGGTGTACAAGTAATACTTTGAGAACAGCTGAACGCATTACGTCTGCATGATATGGAGACTTAGGCTGCAATTATTATCTGTGCAATATACTGGTATGTATATGGTCATTTTACAAGAAAAGGAGAAACGTAATTTTAGAGGAAGTTACTGGAAAAGATTTATTTTCAAAATAATTTTAATCCATTTTTATTGGTCTATTCATAATGAAATATTAACACGTTGTTAATGGCAACTAGCATGTTAAAATTCTAAAAAAGACAAAAACCTAGATACAAGGTTTTATGATGATGTGATGATATATCGCCAACACAATACATTTAATCATATACACTTTGTCACATATCCCTCTGGCTCAGACTTACCCAGGAACTCCATTTCCCAGAATTCCCTGGGAGACCACATGACTCTGACACTTCCACAATCCACCAATCTTTGTTCACTCTCACCTGAGTACTGATCGCAATGCAACATGCCTTGTATTATTAGTGTGGCATACTGGTATTCTATATGTAATATAATGTAATATATTGTAATATATATGTAATACATGTAATAAGTAAATAACAAATATAATGCAATGTATTAGAACTGCTCTATATTAGTATCTTTGCTGTCTGGACAAAATGTTTTATCTCCAAAATGGTAATTTTACAGGAGAAATATTTTTTCTGAGTAATTTTGAATCATTTCTATTGGTTCATTTATCATGAAAATTCAGCACATTAAAAACAGAAACTGGCATGTTTAAATTCTGTAAAAATAAATAATATGATTTTTGTCATGATAGTTTCAATATATTGACAGTGTAATATATTTAACTGGCATCATGGCACCCTAAAGAGCAGCCACAATGTTTTAGTGTCTTGTTTGTTTGTTTTACTTGTTAAACTTGCCCATGGCATATAGTATATCTTTTCTATGTTTACTATATTGGATTAATTTTTATGTTGTCACCTGCAGAGAAATTCCATGTACTTGGCGAATACAGACTCTGATTCTGATTCATATACATATTTATGGATTAAGATTGGCCTGCCCCATTTTAACCAAACGTCTTCACAGTTGTTGGATTACATAAATGCCTTGATTTAAAAACACATCCATTGAAGACTAAAACCTGAGACTGGGCTTATTTGCAAATTGCAGCCTTCTGTGATATTAGTATTTCAAAATTTCATATTGTAATAATGATTTACACGTACCAAAGTAGGGTTCGTTAGGACAGCCCTTCAGCCTCACCCCTTTCTGTGTGCACTCGATCAGGAAGTGCCGCACAAGCTCACTGGTCAGATCGCCTGCTGCACACAGAGACAGGATATGACATTACTTAGAAAAGAATTCCCAGCTGTTCAGCAATGTACATGTGCCAGGGTGAACATCTTGGCACTACAAACGTGTGGTTTTTTTGCATCGTGACTAGGCTATTAACTATTTTAATTGCAAAAGGCTGCATGTATTCCCCACCCTCTACTCAGCACATGTACTTTGCGAAATCACTGAAATAAAAGGTCATATGGGCACAATAATGTGTGGCATGTGGTATGGTTCAATAGTAAGATTTGCGGTTTTGCTTGCTCAGACACACATGTACACACCCTACAACAGATATACAATCTCTTCCCACAATCCCCCACCCTTCCCCAATAAAGCTTGCGAAAACGACTCTATAGAGCTTGTAGACAAGGATGAGGATGTGAGTGTGTGAGTGTGCTTCGCTTCCTTCCTCAGATTCAATGAGGCAGGCTGTCTAAGGAGCTGCTCTGATATAAACACACACACTCTAGTACTTCAGTTCATTATTCTGCACACAATGGCATTCATTTGTGTGGCAACAAACACCAGCTGACCTTCATGTACATTTTTTTTCTAAAACACACCTGCTCAATCTGCGATTTTCCAGATTGGGCACAGTAAAATGGATCGGCACTGTTTCCTATCACTGTATAAAAGAAGCACTATGTTCAAATCGCTAAGGGTTTATTTCAGATTTATTTCATCAGAGTAACAATAAAAGGCAACTAAAGTGTGACATATACACTGACCAGCCACTTCATTAAGTACACCTCCTTGCATCTGCCATTTTATCAGCTCAACTGGTGGATCATTCTCAGCACTGCAGTAACACTGACATGGTGGTGGCATGTTAGTGTGTGTTGTGCTGGTATGAGTGGATCAGACACGGCAGTGCTGCCTGAGTTTTTAAAACACTGCGTTCACTCACTGTCCACTCTATTAGACACTCCGACCTTGTTGGCCCACCTTGTAGATGTAAAGTCAGAGACAGTAGCTCATCTGTTGCTGCATAGTTTGTGTTAATAGTCATCTAGACCTTCATCAGTGGTCACTGGACACTGTTGGGTGGATAATTTTGGTTGGTGGACTATATAACACTATGTGAGATCCACTTGTGCCAGCACAACCACCAACATGGTGGTCACTGCAGTGCTGAGAATGTTCCACCACCCAGATAATACCTGCTCTGTGATGGTCCTGTGGGGGACCTGGCCATTGAAAAACAGGGTAAAAGGGGGCTAAGGGGAGAAAAGGGGAGGAACAGATGGACTACACTCTGTAATTATAGAACTCGAAAATGGATAATGAATGTAGATAGATGCAGGTATATTTAATAAAGTGGCTGGTCAGTGTATACCTTTTCTATTTGTAAACAGCTTTGCTTGTTTTAATTAATTTATGAAGTGAATATTTGCATGTTTCAAGAAATGATGCCTAAAGGATCTTCCATTACAAGATTATTTTACTTGATGAGAATATTGAATATATGTAACAGGTCTAGAAATAGGTTGTATAATCCTCTAACTTTCTCACAGCATATTGGGAAACATTAGATGCTTGGACTCAAAGATATCATTTCACTTTAACCCTGTAATGTAAACATAGCCCAGATACTCTTTCCTTCTCGCCCCCTGACCTTTCTTGCTCTGCTGTAAGACGGAGGGTGGGGGTGTGGCCACTTTCATGGCCAGTCCGTACGCTCCTCTGAATGAGTGACTGTCTCTGACGATGAAGGAGCCAGGCTCTTTATCCTTCAGCAAGGCAATAGCTACAGCACATCAGGAGACAAAAGCAACTTCATGATTCCAGAAGAAATGGCGAAATGAAAAAGTGTAAGAGACACTTCACGTGATGATGCTCACCCTGCTCTCTAGAGATGTCCGGCTTGTACCAGAACTTCGACGTGTCTTGAACGAATTTCGTGGTGTCAGGCTTACTGGACAGGGGATCTGTTCAACATGGTAATAATGCTGTCAGCATTATGTTTGCTAGTGGGAATATATTCAGTGTACCTGATATTGTTTTATGTTATGTGTTTAGGTGAGAGTAATTGATAACTGACCTAGAATAGATGTCCGGTTGAATTAAAAACACTGGAGTATTAGTTGCCATTGATAATTTATAATACAAATGTCAGCTCATAGTCTTTTATGTGCCACTAAATAAGGTATATAAAATGTAATATATAAATGAGGCATACAGAACTTGAGTTTTAGTGTGGCACACACTACAATTTCTCAATTTTTATATTCATAAAGGACATAACTAATAGCAATATCATAGAATTTACCAAAACATTTATAGTCTTTACTAAATAATAAACCTCAACCTAAAACTTTGTCTTACTAACTTGTTATCAGCGATACATTAGGACTACATAAAGACTACATAACATCTAAAATTTCTTATTTATTTATTTATTTATGTATTTATGTATGTATGTATGTATGTATGTATGTATGTATGTAGGTATATATGTTATATTTTTTACCAGATTTCTACCTACTTTTTTTTTTAAACCTGTGAATTTGCACAGGAATTATTCTAAGTAGAATGATTTCGTTATTTTATTTTACTCACAACAAAACTGGTTAATAATACTCAATTCTAAAGTTTCGAACATTGGGTCTCATTCACAAATATCTTCCTAAGTGTATTCTTAAATTTGTTCTTGAGAAAGGTCCTAAGAAAAAGTCCACAGAACCACAGAACTGTTTGCACCTTTGTGCTCTTGGGGGTGTGTAGATTCTGTTCTTACCTGAGAACAAATCCCACAAAAGAAAACATTGATGAATGACAGAATCTTTGTGACAACTGCATAAGTTGGTTTTAAGAAGAGATTTCTTCCCAAGAATGGTTGGTGAATGAGGCCCAGTGATCACAAATGTTTGAATGATGATGTACATTGACTACATTGCTGTATAAGGGAATGTATAAGGGAATTGCTGCCAGTGTTGTTATGACGTGTATATTCACATTCAGCACAGTAAAATGTATCAGCCTGTGGAACTGCAGCTTTTCTGTGTGCTTCTGTGCTTCCTATCACTGTGTAAAAGAAGCACAGTGCTGCCTTTATTGTTGGTTGCACTACAATAGTTTCTGAAAGGGCAAGTACACACCTTCAGCATCAAATAGGTTATTGATTTGTTTCATCAGAGTAAGAGTTCCTATGCAACTATAACATTCCTATGCATTTTTTGTCTTACTCGAAATGGGTGTTTGTGACACAAACAAAACGAAAATCTACAAATGTGTTAGATTATGTTCTTCATTTCTCAAAATAAATGAGATGACAACTTTGAAAAAATATGTTATTAAAGAAGAAAAGTAGATTAAAAGGCTAAAATAGCTGCTAATAACAGAATAATAATCCTGAAGTTGAAAGGGTTAAGGTCTGTACAGACTTAGTACCTGGGCTAGGTGTTGACCCTGTCGGTGAACCATTGTTACTGGAAAATGAGGCACTGACTGCACTCCGGCTGAGAGAGGAGTTCAGGGAGAGCTCTCCTACATCCACCCCTCTCCTCTTCTGGGGTAACAGTGGTGGCTGTATCCCATCCAAGCCCAGAGACTCCAGACCCTCCATAGCCTCCAGCAGACTGAGCTCTAGACTTCCAACACCCAGAGAGGAGGGCAGGCCGCGAGGGCCACCCCGGGGAGAGCTGTGGGCATTGGGGGCAGAAAGGGGGAGCGGAGGAGAGGGCTGGGGTGTGTAGTGACTCAGGGGGGTGTTAGAGCCACTCTCTAACCAGGAATGAGCTGCAGTGGGGCTGGAGACAAGAAAATAGAAGTTTAGAATCAACAACAGTTTATTTAAAGGGCTTCTACAATGTATATTTATCCTGTATTGTGCCTCATTCAAAAAAGTTCTGGTTCAAACACTCCTTATAACTTCAGTACAAATGGGCGGGGCTAACTTCTGTAGGTGTAATAGGCAGATATACGTACATTTTTCCACTGTTTTTTACATCGCAAAATAAATTAATTTAAAATGGGCTGTTTCGCTGTTTAATATTTGTACATGAGCAGGGGAGTAAGTGGCACATTTACAAACAGTATATACATACTACAGCAAACATATCAACAATATATTAAGGTATTAATACATCAAAAAATGTATTAAAAAATGAAGGAAATTTGATTTTCCATGATAGGATGGTTTCAGGTAAAACAAGTGTTGGGAAATATGCCATACATAGGTCCCCGAATGATAAAGATGTTCATTTATTTTATTTAATTAGCAACACATTTTTTTGTGATTTAGAAAGCATCATCTCAAATTTGAATAAACAAAATACCAGCATTTAAACTTTAATTATATGTTATTTATGTGTTTTGTTCAGTAGCCAAAGCAGCTTGATGTCAACCAAAGGATACTGAATTAAAAAATCACAATATTTACATTTTTATTTTTATTTTTATTTATTTATTTATTTTTAACAGATTTCCAGTTTCCCATCTGAAACTGTGAATGAAGTAGTAAAACAATTTTATTTACTTACTTGCAAACAAATTGGTTAAAAAGATCCTAACCTTTTAAACAGTTTTGAACAGCTGAGGCACATTGACTACACTGCTGTATGTATACAGTACAGGTGATTTGTAGGTTTTGTGGACAGTAGGTTTGATTGAGAGTACCTGTCATTGATGGGGAGTGGGCTGGGGGTGTTAACAGAACGCATGGACCCAAACATCCTTTGGCAGGAGGTGGGACTTGACGTCATTTCAGAGCGGAAAAGGTCTCCATCTGACGACATAGGAACGTGTGTCATACTGTCCACATATCCCCGTGACTCTGCCAGGGTATAAAACACATGCTTTTAAGACCCCTTACACTAAAATAGCATTTCAACAATTAATTTAAATGTACACTTCCATCATATATGTTTAAAACCATTATGTATTTACTATAACAGCGCTATGTAGAGGAATAGTCTTGCTTATGTGGTTTCTGACACTTTCTTACGTGTTATTTTTAGAACTGTAATTTTTCTGAAAATATAAAAATTCAGTACTCATGCAATGCAATGTACTTTTGCCCATCTGTATAGACAACAATATGTGTTTGTTCACAGTGTGTTTTTCCCTGAATTATTAATAGTTTTACACAATATTTGAGTTCAGATAAACAATAAGGAGTTAACCTCAAACTATGTGATGAATTAAAAATAAAGGTTTGGCTTTTAACAAGTTGGGGGGCTGAACACACACACATGCACACCCACACCCACACATTCCTGAGATAGTACACATAACAAACAAAGGAGGAGGCTTCCCACAATTCTGTCTTTTGCAAAATTCTCCAAAATTCATAAGCTTTCAAATGCCTTCATAAGCTTTTTTTGATCAAGACAAACATTGAATTTAACACATAAATCATGATAACTAAAATCACATTGCTGCATCTTAGATAAGACTGCAGAATCTGCATATAGGCAAAAACAAATCCACAGTCCTCTGAGAGCAGAAAGAGGTGGTGACTGGAATTAAAAGCTTTCCCACAAGCGATGCACTGGAGTCAAGGGACGCAGCCCAGAAATCTGAACCTCAGAGCTTATTCCCAAAGCACAGAAGCCCTGAGCCCTATTTCCACAGAGCATTCAAGGTCAGTGAGATTCAGATTAAAAGGGAAGCACGCAGGAGAATGTGAGTTAGGGAGAGCGTGTGAATGCACTCTTAATAATAAAGCTTTCTAAAGATGCGAAGATTCTTTGAAAAACTTTTAATTGGTATAAAATAATAGGGGTGTAATGATAAACATGATCAACTGTTTTCAGGTTGAGTATAATTATCAATTGTGAGATCAAGATTTGTCTTTTTATTTTCAATATTTTATGTGTTAAAATGTCTTGATTTAATAGAGCTCTAATTATATATGACACAGACTACTTATTGTGCACCACAGGCTCGTCTGGCTGACTACAAAATAAGCCCCAAAAATCACTAACTCCCCCTTTTTCGCCCACTTTACCCTTAAAGGACACACTCAGATTATAGGTTTTGATCCTTGACAGTGGTTTCCATGAAGGATGGCAAAAGAGAGACCATCAGAAGAAGTTTCAAATTTCGATATACTGTTTTGAATATATTAATTTATTTATTCTTCCATGTCACAGTTCTCAAGACCCCTTTTTGGCACCTTTATTTTTAAGGATGTGTAAGGGAGTCTTCAGGCTTGTGAAGGTTATTCTTAATTAACTGAATCTTAAAAGCTGCTCCCTTTATAAGCAGTAAATCCTAGATGACTGGCTCCTACATGAGGGGTAAATGACCTGTAGGATTGAACCATCCCACAAAGAGGAGGGGTGAATGAGATGGCCATCAGTGCAAACAACACTGGAGCAGATGCTCCTTCATACCAAAGGAGAAAGGCCAAAAGGTCTAACGCACCATGATATAGAATAACGTACAACAGACTCTTTTGAAGACACTAAGTAAGCCCAGCAGGTGGACACAAACACACACACACACATATTATTGACTTGTCCAGGGTGTATCCTGCCTTCCACCCAATGACTGCTGGGATAGGCTCCAGCTCCCTCCGTGACCCAGAAGGATAAGCAGCTTAGAAGATGTGTGTGTGTCTGTGTGTGTGTATATATATATATATATATATATATATATATATATATATATATATATATATATATTTTTTTTAATAGTGAGTGCTGATAAGTGCTGACAGAATTTATTATTATTATAATTTGTAAATTGACAAAGCACATTTTAAAAAGTTATGTGTCCCCAAAGTTTTGGCAGGCAGAGTACACACATTAAAAGTAAAAGACGAAGAGCTCCACTAAATGCTTGGACGACAGGCTGAAAGCTGGGGACAAATAAGATAACAGCAAGAATCCGGCTTGTTTCCTGGTGGATACCGCTCACTGAGACATTAAGGGCAAAACGGAAAGCCACAACAGATAATAAGACTTCTAACAATCCTCCAGTGGTTCAGGTTCTCAAATGAAATGAAGGAGTACAAAGAGTTCTCAGTACTTTGAAAACACAGCGCACGCTACCAACTCCATGTTCCTCCAAGCGTGCCTGTGCCACATATTTAAGAGTACATGTAGAAAGCAGGGCTGTCAAACCACTGCTATAATTAACTGCAGTTAATCGCATTAGTTTGTTGTAGTTAATCATGATAATCACATTTCTCTTATTTACACTAACCTTTGTCCTTAAAGAAGGATATTTTTTCATTTAAATCAATGCATTTTATTATATATCAGTAGTCAAGATAAGCTTCACCAGAATGTTTTATTACCTTCAATAACAACATAAACATGGACATAAAACCATGTGAATGCAGGGTGAGAATGAACACAGGGTGAATTTCTAAATCCAGTTTCGAATTTTCTTCATCAACACCCAGTGAGAGCAACAGTGGCTACACGTTCCTATCCCTCCATCACTGTAGTCCTCTCACTCTCATACCACTACATTATGTCTTACTACTCTTATGAACTTTCCACTTTGCTGCCGTTAGTTATTGGGTTGTTGATTTATCCATAGTTCTCCCATGAACACTGTCCTCAGAGCCTGTTGAAGACATCTGTTGAAGGTGCTAATGCTACTAATATGGCTGACATCAGTGGTGCATTTTGCTTGTAAATAATACTTCAAACTCAAGGTACTTCATGTCAAACAAATTCATGACATGGCAATAGCTGGAAATTATGGTAACACTTTATTTATATATATTATTATATTATATTATATATTATGATAGTCTGCTGTAGATGGTTGAGTATGAAAGATTCTATTAAATCTATTAAGTCGAACTACGACAATGTGTTGATGACGTTAAAATAAATGAGTGGCATTAATATTATTTCAGAAGTATTTGAGGTTGAGAAGCTAGATTAAAAAGAAGAAAGAAGAACATGTGCTGGATATGTGTGTGTATGTGTTTTGCTGCTTTATTCTGACAACTGAGTCTCTCTGGATTAAACCTCCTGCATGCCACAGAGACAAAGGACGACTTCAGTTTTACAGGCTTAACAAACTCACCATTCAGAGGAGGAATGCACACATGCGCACACACACACACGCACACGCACACACACACACACACACACACACACACACACACACACACACACACACAAAAGACTGAGCCAAGTTGAAAACTATCCAGCTGTTGTGATCAAAGCTGCACAGGGGAAAATGAGTGGGGGTAGGAGAGAAATAGGGGAAGGGCAAAAGAATGGAAAAAAAATAAAGGAGGGGAGACAAAAAGAGAGAGAGAGATGGGGAGAGAGAGAGTGTGTGATGGAGAGAAAGAGAAAAAAAATCAGAAAAGTGAATTCCTTTCAGGTTAGAGTAACACATGCCACAATACTAAGATATTTCTGGACTCATTTTCAGCTCTCTGATTCACTATTTATACCTTTTTCCATAGCTTAAAATAGAACTTAACAAAAATTTGCAAACTGACTGTCAATTCTAAGCCCCACCCAAGTTGTTTGTTGCTATGGTGACTGCACACAAACAGAAGCATTGGATTTTAACTGTTAACCTTATCAGAGCTTTCTCAATGTCAATACATATCTCACAAGGTCATCCGTTACTGAGTTACATATTGCAAATGTTTCCAATCAATCATTCAGCAAAAACATCAAAAGCAAAACACTACTATCCATTCATCAGTGGCACTGGCTGTACGGTAGACTTTTCCTTGATTGATCCAGGCCACTTTTCTAAATTCCTGTCAAACTTATCAGTGTGGTCTCTCTGGAAGACTTTTGTCATTTTAATCCCTACAGCAAAAAGAAGCTTGGAGTGAATTAGTTTTACCCGAGGAGATTAATTTATAAGAAGATCGCAAATTTCATAATGTCATCATTTACGTTCTTAAAAAAAAAAGGTTCCTAAATGATTCTTGGCTTTGGTGTACACTTGTAGGAAATATTTCACGCACTACCTGAGCTGGATTTAGCAAGGAAGGTTCTGTAACTGGTCACAACACCTATTGTCCAAAATAGCAGCATTCAGCTACACGGTGAGGTTTTGTTCATTTTCATGGTTTACAGTAAGTCATATTGTGTCCTAAACCATGTCAACAAGTCAGCACAAGATTCATGAGGTTTTGGAGATGAAGTAACGGAATTGATTTAGGTGACTATTGACTTGCTATATTAGCTGTGTAGCTTCAGTTTTGTTTATTTGTATGATTTACAGTAAGTCATACTGTGTTCTAAACCATGTCAACAAGTCTGCACAACATTCATGAGGACCTGGATGCAGTTTAAGAAGGTTGAAAGATGTTCTGAGGATGTAGTAACAGAACTGATTTAGGTGACTACTGACTTGCTATATTAGCTCTGTAGATTCAGTTTAAAATTAAGGAAGCAAAATACACGTCTTGGCTCATCGACTAAATCTGTGGTAGGTTGAAAAGTGTGTAAACTATTCATTTAATAACAAAAAACACGGCTGTGTCTATTACCAGGCTTTGTTACATTACCATAAGGTCAGTTTGAACAAGACTGCTGTTAATAATGGAGCTCTGGGTTTAGTGAATTAGAGAAGGTCAGACCGACTTGCAAGAACTACAGACACTGCAGATTCATTCTGGATATAAATCACTGATCTCGTTGATTATAACTTAGCCCAAGACAAATTAATTCAGCCCAAATACGACTTTAAGGCCCCACCTCTGACCTTGTCCCCATCACAAAAAGTTTTTCCAATTATACAAAATCCACATACACAGTCTTCTGTACTCCTTAAATTTGGTTCAATTGGGCAACTCTGCTAAAACTACACTCTTCACGTGAGAATAATGCCCCA